AAAATGCGTTCTCTGCGTCTCCTTGCTTCAATTCGATGTCTCCTTCTTGCGACAATAACCGCTGCCATGTGTGCGCAATTACGCATACAGACCATTTGCACCTTCTTTTGAAACGTGTTAAATATAGAGTCAGATACAGTTAGCAAAATTGCTTTCAGGTTTGATAAATCACTTTGCGAGTGCTAAATTAATATATTTACATGTTCTCCTCCCACAAGACGCACTTTTGCGTGTAAACGCCCCATATTGCATATTCATTGCAGAAAAAGTAGTAAATGGATAAGAGGCGCTATTTAGCACGTTTTAAAGACCAAATCCTTTTAGCATGCTGTTGATGGATCAGTTTGTAAATTTTTTAGCGTGCGCAGTGAAATAGCTCACGCTTTTATACACGCAAACCTTTGATAGATCCGGCCCACTGAGTGCATCACAATGAACTCCACCATTGTCTTCAACTTTTTTTGTTGAACCATTGGGCTGGACCATCTCGATCTCCAGGAGCCAATCATTAATACATACAAGACCAATACTTAAGGCAGCATTTAGTTCTTGGAAAACATTTCCCCTGTGAAACCTAAGCCTGGTGGTCTTTGGTGGTTGGCAGGGTTCCTGAACTGTTAATGGTCTTTCCACCTGAACTGGGTCCATTGGAAGAGTCTCATCAAGTTCATGAAAGCCATTAAAAAGAAAAGCGTGTCCAATTACTATCTCTTCGTCATCTGAGAGTGATGCCTGTGTTACAATGAAAACATCTTCCACTTCGCCAATGTCCTGCTCTGCTGACAAGAAACATGAATCCCAGAATACACTGGCAGAGGTTTCCTTAACTGGTAACTGTACTTGTATCATCTCGGAAAGCACTGTGTTGAGGAGTTGCTGTCATCAAACTAGTTCCTTAATCTGTTACTGTACTAGCAGTTGCGGATGCATGTGGTGACTCACTGTTAAGAGCATTGATTGTTTCACTTGTGTCTCTTTGATTCTTACTACATGACAAATACAAGCATAGCATTCGAACTTTTCGCTTCTCGTACTGCTGACCTAATGTGGTCTCTTGATCCAGCCCTTCCTCTGTAAAATCCCGCATAGTGAAATCAAATTCACTAACATTTCCAAGCCTACTTTTTCCAATTGGAAAAAAAAAGATCTTTGCCAATCTCCAACAACCGTGCCATTGTAGTAGTCTTTGGTGCCTTTAAATGTCTGATATCCCCTCCTCTTCTCTCTTTAACCAGAATATACTGGCCACTGACTTCTTCAAAAGGGCACATCTGAAAAGCCCACTCAGTTTTTTGAGCATTTGAGTTACAAGATTTTCTGAATACTGATCTCTGTGACTTCTCTTTGTGTTCAGCCTATGATTGAGCTTTGACATTAGACTGGCTGTTGCTCTTGAAGCCGATGTGGTTCCCTCCAAAACAGCCCCTTCCTTTTCTACAGTACTGCCGTATTGCTATTCGATCACCGATTTTTGGCACATATTTCATTAACTGTTTATCTGTCATCTAATTGACAGAATTGCAGTCAATCTGAAAAATAAAAAAGAAAATTATGGTTAAATTTTGTTTTTTACCAAACCCAGGCAAACTGTAGCACGATAAAATCACAACATGTATCAGATAAAAGCCTTTCATTGCATGTTATAACTGTTTAAAAATATCAATTGAAAATACAAATAAGAATGTAAAATAATCTCAATAAACACGAAGTAAACCGACTCAATAACTTTTTGAAAATGTGCTTGTTTACATTTATATCTGCATACAGGTAATTTGATAGAATTTCAAGTCCAGCGAAGGGCAAAATGTACAGTGGAGTCTATTAAAAATAGAGAAAAAGAATTTGTATATCACTGTAATTTTAGTCGGCCTGAGAGAGTAATGCTCCTCACTATCAAGCAATATGGATTTATACTTTACAGAGGCTTTCTCCTTCTAAAGGGTGAAATTGTGTAATAAAAGAAGGAGGACAAGTTTACTTTTGACTTTTATTTGCTTATTTACTCTCATAGCATAGCATAAGACATGTTATTAAAGACTAACACCTAAAACTAAACTAGAACTAATCAAAAGATATTTAAAAAAGCTCTTTAAAATATGTTTTTTAAAAAGTTTAAACTAAAAGCAAAAAACAAGTGCTTTGTCGAGCAAATCAGCATAAATTACATTACAAGCAGGGTGCACTTTGCTGGAGACAGGAGGACAGACAGACAGAAGAACAGATCCACCTCTCCGTTAGTTTTTTCACAGATTGCGTCCTGCATATAAGGAACGGAAAACATTGATAACATGTATTGATACCTCCAAAACCCGTAAATGTATTGTTTGTTGTAACATTTTTAGCATCAAGTAATTTTACTTATTTCAGGTGTTATTTCTATCCTTTTCAATTTGTTACATCTACTTTTAGGGTGTGACATACCTTCTCATCAATTAGGTTAGCAATCGCAGTTTCATCCAGCCCTCGCTGTTCTTGTAAGAATTTCTGGAAATCTGGATCCATTCTATGACAAATAATGAATTTATTTTTTTCAAACAGAAAATAATGCAAATTTCTAAAATTAGTAGAGGTTCAATCTGAATCAGATTGTTAGAGTTCTGATTAGCTTTTAGATTAATTCCCATGAACACATCCTCGACACCAGCGATGACCAACTCATCCTGCAGTTATTAGGAGTTTCAAGGCTGCAACACACATGATTCCAATCATTAGGTTGTTGTACAGAGCTTGATATGAAGCTCTGCACGGGTCACAAAGTTTATTACCCCAGGAAAACTAATACCTGTAGGATGGCAGGCCTCAAGGAGCAGAGCTGCCCATCCCTGCTCTACACGATGTCAGCTACCATGAAAAAACCAATAACAATTAGACTAGCATTAAGCCTGCTGATAATCTAATGCAACTTCAAACTATTAAACATCTAAAAGCATAAATATACTGGAAATATAGCACTGAGTTCGATTAAAATGTTTATAGTTGAATTAGGAACGACTAAACTAAGCCAAAGTTTAGACATACCATCACAGCAGCCCACACTATCTTCCTTACACTTAATTCCTCGGCAGAAAAAAGGTTAAATACAGTTGGCTTACAGTAGCTACATACACTCACCGGCCACTTTATTAGGTACACCTGTCCAACTGCTCGTTAACACTTCCTCGAACTTCTGGCTTCTCATACTGCTGACCTAATGGGGTCTCTTGATCCAGCCCTTCCTCTGTAAAATCCTGCATAGTGAAATCAAATTCACTAACATTTCCAAGCCTACTTTTTCCAATTGGAAAAAAAAAGATCTTTGCCAATCTCCAACAACCGTGCCATTGTAGTAGTCTTTGGTGCCTTCAAATGTCTGGTACCCCCTCCACTTCTCTCTTTAACCAGAATATACTGGCCACTGACTTCTCTTTGTGTTCAGCCTATGATTGAGCTTTGACATTAGACTGGCTGTTGCTCTTGAAGCCGATGTGGTTCCCTCCAGTGCATTTAGGCATGTAGACATGGTGAAGACAATCTCCTGCAGTTCAAACAGAGCATCAGTATGGGGAAGAAAGGTGATTTGAGTGACTTTGAACGTGGCATGATTGTTGGTGCCAGAAGGGCTGGTCTGGGTATTTCAGAAACTGCTGATCTACTGGGATTTTCACGCACAACCATCTCGAGGGTTTACAGAGAATGGTCCGAAAAAGAAAAAACATCCAGTGAGCGGCAGTTCTGTGGGTGGAAATGCCTTGTTGATGCCAGAGGTCAGAGGGGGATGGCCAGACTGGTTCGAGCTGATAGAAGGGCAACAGTGACTCAAATAACCACCCGTTACAACCAAGGTGGGCAGAAGAGCATCTCTGAACTCACAGTACGTCGAACTTTGAGGCAGATGGGCTACAGCAGCAGAAGACCACACCGGGTGCCACTCCTTTCAGCTAAGAACAGGAAACTGAGGCTACAATTTGCACAAGCTCATCGAAATTGGACAATAGAAGATTGGAAAAACGTTGCCTGGTCTGATGAGTCTCGATTTCTGCTGCAACATTCGGATGGTAGGGTCAGAATTTGCTGTCTACAACATGAAAGCATGGATCCATCCTGCCTTGTATCAACGGTTCAGGCTGGTGGTGGTGGTGTCATGTTGTGGGGAATATTTCTTGGCACTCTTTGGGCCCCTTGGTACCAATTGAGCATCGTTGCAACGCCACAGCCTACCTGAGTATTGTTGCTGACCATGTCCATCCCTTTATGACCACAATGTACCCAACTTCTGATGGCTACTTTCAGCAGGATAATGCGCCATGTCATAAAGCTGGAATCATCTCAGACTGGTTTCTTGAACATGGCAATGAGTTCACTGTACTCAAATGGCCTCCACAGTCACCAGATCTCAATCCAACAGAGCATCTTTGGGATGTGGTGGAACGGGAGATTCGCATCATGGATGTGCAGCCGACAAATCTGCGGCAACTGTGTGATGCCATCATGTCATTATAGACCAAACTCCCTGAGGAATGCTTCCAGCACCTTGTTGAATCTATGCCATGAAGAATTGAGGAAGTTCTGAAGGCAAAAGGGGGTCCAACCCGTTACCAGCATGGGGTACCTAATAAAGTGGCCGGTGAGTGTAAATGTGTTAACAGTCAGGCAATGTCACATAACTGAATAACTGGCTTGCAGAACATGCTTGTATTCAATATTGGAACCAAAAGCACACCAATATTCAGCCTGTGTCTGATTATGGATAGTATGTTGATTTACTGTTTTGAGTCTGTTCAGTTATTAGAAGGGAACGGGAAAGTGGTCACATAAACAGACCACCAGACGCCGATTTGGCTAACAAAGATGTATCTTATATTTGTGTTACTTGCTATTTTAAACGCTTGTTCTTGGTTTAAAGTAATATTTCAGTTATAGGTTACTTCAAGCTCTAAAGCATGCTCATTAAAGCATCGCACTGCACTGAGTCTATATGTATACATATACAGTACATATAACAATTAATTGACTAAACTTACCTTGTAAGTGCGACCCATGTGTCATGATGGGTTTCAGATGTTTAGCCCACATGCAGAAACAACTCAGAAGCGGATGAAAAGTTTAACAGTTTATTGAAAGGTGGTAACTCAAAGAGAACAAAAAGGAGGATTCTCTGCTGGGGAATATCCAACAGTCAGGTGAACCGGAACCGGAAACAAGAAGTAGACTTGGGGTTTCTTTACAGGCTTGGTGATACTTGGCTGGAGGGCGGACAGGCAGAGGAGTTTTCATGAAGTGGACTGCTAACAGCAGCAGTGAATGTTTCCCTTGATTCTCAGAGAGACTAATGAATCCTTCCAAGGCTTGAAGGACCAGGCTTATCCAGTAGATCAGGAAGGTATCCCAATACTGGCAAACACTCTGGCATCGAGGTGGTGACAGTTCGGTGCTCATATACTCCTCTGGTAATGACCAAACGAGGTTTATTGATCCTAGCACACGGATCAATAAACCGGGAGCACGGTTTCTTAATCTGCGCGCACCGATCAGAAAACCATGTGCTCAGTTTATCAATCCGTGCCCATGGATTTCCACCGGCTTTTTTTTCTTTACTCTGACACCCAGGGGGCTCCGTACTTTAATCTTATTCGTTATCAGAAATGTATTAGGAATCAGCCAAACCTTTTACCACTGCATATCATCTACAAATGAGTTACAATAAGAAACACTATAAGGCAAAGACATTGTATTCATTTGAAATAAAGTTCTTACTGACTTAATGTTTCTGGAATAACTAAATAATCAGATTTCTACAGGTGTATTAACAGGAGACCGCATAGATGTGTTATGAGCATTAATTCTCTGTTGATGTTTAAAAAGCATACAAACTCCAGAGGAAATTGCCCCAAACACTTTGGTGTACTGCATGGCTGTTTCAGGAATATCATACTTTGCCAGAAAGTCATTGTAGGATAGAAGAAGGCCCTTGTAAATAAAAAGTTGATCTACAAGTACGATATTTTTTTCTGAAACCAGTTTTCCATAAAGAGTGATTTGTGTTAACATAAAATATCTTTGTTATTCCAGATATAATATTTGTGTGGTTTAAAATTGTGCTTATATATGAGTGACCATGATAAGAAGGCTTGGCGATAAAATGCAGAGAGTTTCAGAGGGATTTTACAAACATCATAATTAAAAATTAGGAAAAAAATTAATGCCACCAATCTTTGAAAATATCTGGAGAGGAATTGTTACATATTGAGTTGGGGATTTTAAAAAGTTGTTTTAAAATGTATTATTTAAAGTATGAAAATCAAGAAAATTGAGACCATCATTTTCATATGAATTCATAAGAACACTTCTTCAAGTAATGTGATCTGTTTTTCTATATAAAATTGAAAAGCAATTTGTCAATCTCCTTAAGTAATTTATCGTCTACATACAACGCTTAAGCTGCATATTTTAAGCGAGAGATGCCCTCTGCTTTAGTGAGCAAGTCTCTTCCTCGAAGTGATAAATCCTTTGAGAGCCACTGGTTCAATTTTCTTTGTGTTTTTCTATTATTGGATTAAAGTTAGAGGCACATCATGTATGTTGATCTTTTGACAGCAAAATGCCTAAATATCTCACCTCTTTTTAATAGGAATGTTATAGAGAGCAGTACTTGTACATTCTTTGATTGCCATAAGCTCTCATTTATTGAAATTCAGCGATAGGCCAGACGCCCTTAAAAACCCAGCAATAACATCTAAAGCAACAGAAATTTGTTTCTCATCTTTTTTAAAAAGTGTAGTGTCATGTGCTAGCTGAGTAACAAGTAATTTTTTGTTAAAGAGGGAGATACCTTTGACTAAACTAGCATTCAAGTGCTCAGATAGAAGCTGGGCGACTAAAAGAAAAAGGGGAGGCAAGACAACCATGCCGAATTTCTCTTGATAAGCTGAATCTTGGAGACATACCACCTACAAATTTAATTGAGCTATTACTATTTTGGTAAAGAGTCACAATAGCTGAGTAAAAGTAGTTGCCAAAGCGAAGTATTTTCAAAGATTGTAAAATGAATTCATGCTCCACAGTATCAAAAAGTGTAAAAATATAAACCATTGTCACATACAATTTCTGGGTAGCCAAGGATGTCTAAAATTAGCCTGTTATTGTTGGTTATGCGTCCTTTGGGCATAAAGCCAGACTGAGTCTCACTAATTATTGAATCCAGTACCATTTTTAATCTTTTGGCTAAGATGGTATCAAAAATCTTCTAATCATTGTTTAGTAAAGAAATTGGGCACCAATCATCTAAAAATGATGCTTCTTTACCAGATTTTAGAAATAAGGTAGTTAGGCCTTGAGTCAGTGTTGCTGTTACAGTGGTAGCTGTTTCTTATTCACACTTTCTAAGAATACTTCTAAAAAAAAGGCAGAAAGTTCATCTATAAATGCCTTATAAAATTTAGAAGTCAATCCATCTATACCCGGTGATTTATTATTTTTCAATTGTTTGATGGCACCTGTTACCTCTTTGAGGGTTATGTGTTTGTCATATAGTTCCATTTAAATTTTAGAAATCTTTTTAACTGTTAAGACATTCAAAAAGTTGTCAGCTGTTCTCTGACACAATTTGGAGCTGTAAAACTTTTGTAAAATATCACTACAATAAGTAGCTATAGCTCGATAATTATCAACCATAACACCGTCTACATTAAGGCTGTTTATGCTGTTAATTTTAGAATGATGTCTCTCAAGATTAAAAAAATAATGTGAATTTTGTTCACCCTTTTCAAGCCACCTTGTTCTCGATTTAACAAAGGCTCCCTTGGCTTTTTGTTTATACAGGTCATCTAATTCAGTTTGTAATTTACAAAGCTCCAGGTTCTCCTCTTCTGATAATGAGTCAGGGAGGTTTTGGCATAACTGAGTGATCCTTGTAATCACACTAACCTATTGTGCTCTTTTTTTTTTTTTTTCAATATCACAACTAACTTTCCTAAAATACTGACCAATCTTGAATTTAAAAAATTCCCAGTTTACACAATATTGTTTTTCACTTTTGGCCTTACACCAATAATAGGTAGTCCACAATTTGACCTGTTACTTAACTGTGTTGATTAATAATAACGAGCTATTCGATTTCCAGAAGGCTGAATGTGTTAGGGTTCCAGTTTTGTGGGGGTTGTTTTGGTTCTTTTTCAGCCATTCCGTGCATCCACTAGATGGTGCCATTGGTTCTCTGTTGGCCTGGAGGGCCTCAGAGTGTTTGCCAGTATTGGGTACTCTAGCCGCTCTGAGTTTTGCTGATTAAATATTTTGAGTTTTCCTTTATCTGAGACCTCTAGCTATAACCTAGTCCACTAGATAAATCTGGTCCTTCAAGCCTTGGAAGGAATCCTCTCACCACGCTGAGAAAAGAAACTTTTCACCTTATCAGAACACCAGCCTTTTGCAATTGTTTTTCTTTTTTCTCCCCCTTTTAAGATCCTTATAAATTGTTAATGGTTGGTGTGTATAATACAATCTTTTGTAATTTTTGTGCAAAATTTCTTAGAACAATCATTTAAGGTGCACATTTTTTCTGCCATTTTTGTGAAATAAACTAAAGCAGAGAGTGAAAGTGTTTGTGAAAATTGGGCAATGATGAGCAAAATGAAAGATGTTAGTCATTTTAATTCAAACATAATTTTTCCACATTTTTTGGTTTTTAATCAGGTCGGAAGTTGTGTTCAATCTTTTGGCTAAACCGACCTAAATCAGCGTTTTTACCCAATCTATATTTTCTCGGGCAAACCAATGCAAATTAGTCTAATTAGCCAAAAATAATTAAGTATAATCACAACTTTCAATAGTCAAGGGCAGGTCTTGAATCATCAACTTCTGGAGAAAGTCTGTGTCTTACAGATGACGGCAATTAAGTAAATAACCATACTCTGGAGAAAATACTACTTAAGACTAACGCGTTAACACAAACTGTGTCCAGTGGCTTTCTCAGATCATTACATTGTTTATTCTCACCAAAATAGTATTAGGCAACTAGATTGGTTGTTTTTTTAACCAATCTATTCTTAGAATCTATCCAAACTTTATCCAGCTGACAGCAGCTCGCCTCCAAAATCCCACAACTTGACTGAATCCTGAGGCTGTTTAGATACCTGGCAAAATTCTTGCGCTTTCTTAACCACTTCTCAAAGCGGTCACGTGGTATTACGGTAGCGAGGCCTCAGACGTTATCAATTTTTGCCCCTCTTCTAAAGGAAATCAATTTTTTGCTGAAAGTCCTAAAAAGAAGAGGCAACGACATAATTGGACAAAGACATGGAGGAACAAATGTGGCTACTATGATTTTACAATTTTACAGACAGAACTGCATTTCACTCATTGCATCCCTGCCATGCTGCTGTGTTTACATCTGAGAGGAAAAAGAAAAAAAAGAATCCTTCTTTGCAAATGCGCACTGAGCGATTTGCCCACGACGGTTGGGAGAAAATCAAACAGGGAGAAAATCTCCCAACCTCCCCATTCCTGATCGGGAGGTGGTTGTGAGAGGCTGATCGCCCCTCGTAACACACTGTACACAACACGACTCATGACGCACTATCAGGCTGAAAGTCGGCCCGATTGGAAGATTCTCACATGACTGGAAAATTAACTCAAAACTCGCACAGTGTACGCACGGCTTTAGGAACACATATAATTATAAGACAGTAATAAAAAATAAAAATATAAATACAAATTTCTCAGACATCAGAGGGACAGCAGACCGACAAAAACAGAATGAGACAAAGGGGCATAAGTTCTTAAAGAATTCAGATCATTAAAGGTGTCCAAGAGCTGTAATCCATGCTGGATTTGATCTGTTTTAAGGTTCTAAAGTGGTTTTCATTAGAAGGTCTTTAAAGGCTGAAAAGTCAGGTTTTCTATCAGCCCATTTACAGGAATGGATGAAGAATTTCACAAAGATCAGCAGGTTGGTCAGAATGAGGTCGGTTCTTCTGTCTCTGCGGATGGTTCCAAATATTATATCCTCTTTCTAAGGGAAGATGGAGGGAAAGTTTGGTTGAGA